GTCCATTCAGCAACTAAGAATTAGATCTTTTGATTAGCACCGAAATTGAATGTACAAAACAGTTTAAATCAGATGTTTACCGATTGCTTGTTTCTTTCTCCGTAATATACTTGTACTTGTGAAATAGTACTACTTGCAATATAGTACTGTTCTACCGTTTCGTTACACGTCCTGTTTTAACGCTGAAATATTGATAAACAATGCAGTGTAGTAGTAAGCCAGTGATCAATATCTTTAAACTAACATGACTTGGCTGAAGTAGTGCAATTTCGGTTCTGATAGCGTTCTGATAAGTGATAATTAAATGTCAAACAGTTCTAACATTGGCTCATCTGTTTCAAATCATTTCGATGCACTCATGGCTCTGCTGCGGTTACGTTTTGAACGGCTTAGCACATGGACGTTCCCCCTTTTGTCGATGACCGATTCAAATATTTCTCATGTTTGAGTTTTGGAAGTTTTGGATGTGTTGACAGTTATTTTAGAGTACATACTGTAGCATACTGCAATTGTTTAAGTTCTTGCTGTTTCGCACTCAGAAATTTGAAAGGGTTAATTTTTGTCTAAAATCGCTGACGAAGGTCAAATTATTGACAATTACGAAGCGAAGGTTTCAGGATCTGTAATGACCGCGTTGGCATCTTGTAAATTAATTTTGAGGACATGATCGGCTGCAGTTTTCATAAAAAGTTGTGTTTATGACACTTAAAGAATGTTTCAAAAATCTGCATAATCTAATAAAGGTTCAAAATAATTTTATTTGTTAAAAAATTGCAGTTGTCAATGGATTAAAAGATTTAACTACTATGACAACTGTTGCAATCATGAGGTTAAAGCGTTAGTCAAACATCAATTACTCAACCGTAAAACATCTATTCGACCTCTTCAAATGTTTCTGTCAAACATGGAGATACTGAAGTATGTTTAATCTCTCCAACTCGTCCTCACATATCCTTCGACCCCGTCGCTGCGGCGCGTTCTTCCGATCTGTTTATTTTTATTGAATCAGTTATTTCGCTATGAAATGGAATAGAAACGTCTGAGTCCAAAACGTCTGACAGAAATTTCTTGAATCACTATCATAAGCAGATCATTGCTTAATTTTCTGACAGTTCTCGTTAAACATTTTGGCACATCTGCCGGATAATCGTCAGTTGGGTAGCGTAGAGTGCAAATTTCTTTTTGTGAAAACAAGAAACCATTGAACCATTAAAACGGGCTCAAATTATCTTCTGATAACAGCCTCATGAGGTGGTGGTCCAAACATATATCGATCATTCCTCTACATATGGCGAGATTGCATTCTTAAACTGTCGATGCTTTCGCCGTTATGGATACTATCGCAAACGAGATTTGAGCTCGGCTAAAACAATTTTTCGGAAACGTTTTTGATTGTGACTATAACTATAACTTTTCCTGACCTCGTCACCCAAAGGGAATTGCTCATTAGTTGTATGATTAATTTTAAGGTGTCTATTTGATAAACGTCACTGAATTTAAACTGCCAAAGTTAGTAACTGTTGGATCAGAAAAAATCTCACACAAACTTTCCATGAATTTTTTTGATTTGATTTCAGAAATTTGATTTGATTTGATTTCAGAAACAACCATGTGACCGTTATTTGAATCGCGCAACTGTGGATTTGGGAGCAGTTGGGCAAAAGTAACGGAAGTGCAATTCGAAGACAAGCAATACTGGTTTACTCATTTGGAGGGAATACTTGTGAATCAAGTAGGGAATATGATTGAAACTATTATTCACGCAAATAGGTCATACGCGGCAGATCAAAGTAATAGTATAGTGATGATATTAAAAAGTGGAACGAAACTGATGAGAATGACGTAGGATATCTTCAACAATGTAAAGAAATGGTCTGATAGCACATGAATGACCTGTTATTTAACAAGGCGGATTGTGCATGTTCCGAAGATTTTTCAAGCTGAACGAGAAACTGATTTGAGGCACGAGGTACGCAACTAATTTCATAAACAGTTGATTGAAGCAAATACACATTTTAATTTAATTCGTAATTCATCATCGCCAAAATCAAGAGTTTAAATTAACTGAGATGGATTACGCGACAATTTTTCAGTCTGGAGCAAGATTTGAAAAGATTAATCATCTCATG